GAGTACTAAATGTTGATGGTGAATACTGAACTATCTTGCACAATTGAAGTAAGGGTAGACAGGACCCATGATGATGGCAGGGGCCACCCATTTTGTCAGGACTGCCACAATGCCCTCCCTGGCTACCACTTACCTCCATCCCTGTTGGATTGGCTGCTGTTTTCTGGTCCCTGCCCTATCTGTCATGATAGACACCACATTCTGCTGTGCTACACACAAAGCCTGCCTGTCCCTTGTGGCATGTGTGCTGTAGGTTGCCCATCCCTGCTCTATAGCAAGGTGGTTAAGGGTGCTCCACTGGGGAAACATGGGCTTCAGCCCTCTCCAGTAGGTCTGTGTTGTGCTGGTGGTTTCTTTCACCTCCACCTCCACCCTTGGTTCTGTAATGGGTGGTGGAACAGGGGTGACCATAATATCCTTGGTGGCCACATGGTTCCCGTCCTGCTCTTCCTGCCGTGCCTTGATGTTCTTAGTTAATTTTGGAAAAGGAAGCTGCCAAGGGACCTAGAGTAGGCCCTGCCCTGTCTTCCTGCCAGCAGATCTCCCTTAGACCCTGATAGTCCCAATCCAGCCTTCTCACTAGATAGGCTTTCCTGGCCTGTGCATGTCCCAGGGCACCTGTTGCCTTGTGGGCTATTAATGGCTTCTGACGTCCCCAACAGCTGTGCCCATGCCTCATGGGTGTTACTGTTTAATCACTTCCCCTTGTTGGGGCCTTGGCCTTCCTGGCCTCTACCCCCTTCCTCTTGCTGGGCCTTCTAGCCCCTGCCCACTGTTGGACCTGGCTTCTGGGCTCTAGCTCTCATCTCAGCTACTTGGTGGGTTTGGGCCCTCTGCCCTGGTCTTCCACCTCCCAGGGCTGCAAGCCACCTGGCCTGCTCTTGCCTCCCTAGGCTCTGTGCCCTTGGCCCTGGTTTGGTCTCCCTAGGACTTCAGGACCTTGGCTCTCTTTCTCAACCCTGCTTGGGTTCGCCCTCTCATGCTGCCCTGGGCCATGTCTCCATCCTGCTCAGCACTGGGTCTGCTAACCCTGTCTGGCTCCAGTCCCAATTAGGCTACTAGCCTTGATCTTGCCTACAAGCCTGCTTAACCCAATCTGCTTCTGGGCCTCAAGCCCCTAGAAAAGCTCACAACAAACGTGCCCCTCAGGCACTACTGGAGCCTTCTTTCACCCCTAATAGTTTTAACCCAAACCGCTGGTCGTGACTAACAAAAAAACAAACAAAACACAAGCCCTTTTGGCTATAACAAACTCCTCATGGTATCTAAGCACAAACAGCAGCTCCTCAGCTGACTTGTATAATTTCCCCTTACCCCGAGTCACATTTCCCTTTAAGTCGGCTGCTTTCTGTCTGGCCCAGGATAGCCCATGTCCTTCAGGGCTAAGTACAGACGGTCAAAATGCCCGAGGCCGAATCAGTTCAGTCTTTGCAGGTTCCTAAGATGCACAGATTAAATTGAAACAGAAGCAAACGGACTTTTACCTCTGATTTGGGAAATGCAGCCATGTGCCAGTAGTGGCTCAGGCCAGAAGCCGGGAGATGCTAGACTGCAGGGGTGGGCAATTATTTTGGACAGAGGGCTGCTTGCTGAGTTTCGGCAAGCCATCGAGGGCTGCGTGACAGGCAGCACAGGGCAGATGAACATTAACTTTCTAAATTTTTTAAGGGCCCCATGGGCCAGATAGAATGGCCTAGCGGGCCACATCTGGCCCCTGGGCTGCATTTTGCCCACCCCTGTGCTAGAGCAGGGCTCTGGCTGTGTGTTCACTTCTTCCTGCTGCCCCCAAGGTCTCTGGGATTCACAGTTTACGCTCACAGCTGCAGGACTGCAGGGTTGCTCATCACATCTTTCTGCTTCCAGGGGCCTCTGGGATTTGTAGTCCACAATTGCAGCCAGCAGTAAGCTTGAGCAGGAAACAGTGTATTTAACCCCCCTCCTGGGCCCCAGATCCCAGCCAGGGTTTGCCTGGATGGTGGGGGGGAGGAGGAGGGCAGCCCCCCTGCAGCCTGGGATGCATCCCTGGCAAGGCTTGCCCCCCCCCCTGCCCTTGTCAACCAGCCCTCACTGCTCCAGCTAGGGAGCAGAGGGCTAGAGCCAGCCCTGCTCTCCAGCAGACAGCCCACCCCAGGATTGGAAAGCATGCTGGGGGACTGATTTAACTTGAACCAGGAAGGGGTCTGGGACAGAAGTTTCATAAACTGGTTTGACCCAAATCAGTTAAGCCTGATACTACATCCATCCAGGTTTATCTTAAACTAGTTTCAGCCATTTTGAAACTGGTTTATGTGCAATGAACTTCTGTTCTGTTACAGGTTTAAACCAGTTTCTGATGCCATGGTGGTGATGGGGGGTGCAGTGGTGGGGGAAAGGGGGGAACAAGCCTCCTTCCCTCCTTGGGGCCTTGGCCTCCCCTTCCCCTACCACTGCAGCAGGAAGGGGAGGAGCCTGTGGCCCCAGCCCCCAAGCAGCAGGAGGGAAGGAGGGAGCAGGGGCCATGGGACTCCATTTCTCCCCCCCAGTCATTCTTGATGGGCAATTGGCTAGTCAAATCATTTCTAGTGGTATGTAGTCTAGTCTGGGGGTTGTCAACCAAGGGTCTGTGTACCCCTGGGGCTTTCTCAAGTACTCCCTTGGGGTACTTGAGAGAGCCCCAGGGGGGGTATAGCAATGGCACAGAGAAGCAGGGGTACTTGGAAAGTGGCAGGATGGGGAGCAGTGCTGCCACTGCATGCCACTTCCTTGTGGTCAGGTACCCCTGCTTCTCAGTGCTGCACATAGGTGGTGAAAGGTGGGGGCTAATGGGCCTTAGCCCCCACAAACACAGGGCAGTGGTAGGGCCACAAGGCTGCAGGGGTGGGGAGGGGGGCATGTGCAGTGCTGACAGAGTGGGTCTAGGGGGCTGGGGCAGTGCAGGGGACTGAGTCTCAAGCAGCTTCCTGCATGCCTTCGACTCCTGCTGCTACGTGCACCCTGGGATGCATGGGGGAGCGTATGCCCCTAGCTCTGCATAGGGCAGGCTGCAGCTGTACCATGCTCTTCCTGGTGGGGGGGAAATGGACTGTGCTAGGGAGGGCAGCAGCCACCCCAAGATTTGCTGTAGCCCCTACCCGCCAGCACTGCTGCTGCCCTGGCCACAGCCCATCCTGCCCTGTGCAAACCTGGGGGCACATGCCCCTGCATTCTCCCAGGATATGTGCAGGAGCTACCACCCATCTCTACCCCCCTGGCTCTTAAGGCTGTGCAAAACAGCACCATTCCATTTCCTTTCAAATTTTGTTTGGCCTCTAAGCTGCTTTTCCATTTTGCTTAGTTGAAATAATTTTGCTGCTTTGTCTATCAGCTGTAGTGAGGAAGCTCAAACCAGCCTATAACTTTGTCATTTCTAGCCTGATTCAGATGAAACCTGCAGGAATGGTAACCCCTTCTGAGGGATGAAGACTGCCAGGTTTCAAGGAGATAGGTGCAGGGGTTTGGGAGAAACTGCACCTCTAGCTGCAGAGAAGAAAAACTCATGGCATGGGTGACACTGCGGTAGGCTGGAGTAGGGTGAAAGCTGCAGGGATGGTGGCCCCTGCTGGGCTGTGAAGAAACCCGCCAGCTGTCAAGATGAGTGCAGGGGAAGTCTGGGTTCTGGGGCCCTGCACCTCTGGCTGCTGACAGGCAAAGTTCTTGCCATTGTGTGTTAAGTTTTGCCTTTGCTCAACTGCCACCAAACAATACTGCCTTTTATGCAGTTTTTCCATCCTTCCCCAGAGCATTGGGAGTGGAAGGGACCTTAGGGAAGAATGACAGTCACAGGCCAGCTACATAGTCAATAATGAGCGCATTCCTTCCACCCCATCCCCTTCTCCTTACTCAAGCTGGGCTTGCCTGCAGGAAAACACCTAGAGTTTCAAAATTCAGTTTCAAACTGCCTTGTTCCAATTTTGCTGGTTTGAGCTCAAAATGAGTCAAAAGGAAGCTTCCAGCAAAATCTTGCAGAGTCCTAGTGGCTATCCCATACCCTGCCTCAGCTATGCAGGGCCTGGTGGGATGGGCACAGGGGCCCTGGGGGCTCCATCCCCTCCAGCCCAGCCAAGGCTAGTCCTCCTCTGGCTGGGGGCCCCAGGTGGTGTGCAGCTAGGGGTGATGGATTTGTTGGTGTTGGGGGGTATCAGTTCCAGGCAACAACCCCAGGCCCCACTAGGGAACACACCAGCACAACAGGCTCTGGCTCAGCTCCCTCCCAGTCCCTGCTTGGTCCCCCAACCCCTGCCATGCCACCATTTTCCCTCCCCTGCTGCTTTCCCCACAGCTAGCGGTAAGCATGCCTGTCTCTTTCCCCCCCCACCTACATAAACCCATGCAGATTCTTAGCACAGCCTCCTAGGCTATCAGACACTGGCCCCCTCCTCCATCAGCCTCAAGTTCCATCCAAAAGGGCAAGTTTTGTATTCCCCTACTACAAAAACAAGTCACA